CCTGCCTCCCTCTCAGTTTCCCTCTGACTCAAGCTTACTTCTCAGACCACAGTTTCCCAGCTTGAATTCCCTTCTTTCCAGCTCAGATAAGCTTCCCATCCTTGGCAGCATACCTTTCACTCCTTCCTTCCCACTTGGCCTCCGTTGTTATAGTCATTACAGTTTTCACACACCCCACACTACAGAGATCCCTGCTTGCTGTCCACATGTCCTCATGTGTCCCTATGCTGTCCAATAATGATGAATCCTTTATTAGCATTTATAATTCCTCCTTTCGAAATGCAATATCTTGCATTGAAAAAGAAAACTTTTTTAAAACAGTGACAAAATTCCTATGTTGTTGGCAACACTCATTGAATGGTCTACAAATGTGTAAACCAGAAAGTGAAAGTGTCCCCCTCTAACTCCTCCAAGGTCAACTCTCCACTTGATTGTCTTCGTGGGTCGGGTGTACACTCATGTTTTGTACATGTGCACTGACTTCATTAAACATTTTACCAATAGAGGTGGCATCCCAATTGCTATGCCTCAGGGACATGCAGTGCCTGGAGAGGGCCCAGCTGCATGCTGTGGACAGGGCTGTCCCGGTGGTGGCTGCTCATAGACACATGGGGGAGGTGGGCTTTGGAGGGGGGACCCTGTTTGGTGGTTCAAAGGAATGAAAAAATAAATCAGTTGAAGGGATGCTGTTTTACGTTCTCCCTAGGTGGATTGTGCGATTACTAAAAATTCTTTTAAATTAGGGCAATGAATAGAGACCAAAATCCCTCAGTGATTGCTTGGACCTAATGGAAAGGCAGCAATGGAATGAGGGAAAGTTAGAAAAGCAACGTTAGCTTAGCTCCATTTTCTTTCTCAGCCAAATTCTGGGCAACAGGAGTGGTGACTATACAACATGATGAAACATAATCGCTGTCACTGACTCATAAGATTGTAAGCCCAAAAGAAATGGTCAAAAAAATTAAAGACACCTTTAGGAAAAATATCAAAAGGGAGAGGTCTTCTTCTTTGGTACATCCTTCACAGACTCTTAGGCGCTGATGCACCTGGGTTGATCTTGCCTCTGACTCTTCCTCAAAGAAATGTGGTTCACATGCAAACAGCAAGGATTCAGACTCTGTTCCCTTGCATCGATCTTTGAGTCCTGGGACAAAAAGGAGTTTGAAGGGAATGGGAAGAGTGGGGCAGTTGGGTAGATTGGGCAACAGCATACCTATAACATTCATGCATATGTATGTGGAGGCAGATGTGTGCCTGTGTTATCTGTTGTTGGGAGGTGCCATTGAGTCCATGCTAAGTCATGGCAACCCTACACAAAAAAACTCAACCATCCATCCTGACACAGAGCAACCCTGTAGGACAGGGTAGAACTGTCCCTGTGGGTTTCTGAGCCTGTCAGTCTTTGTGGGAGAGAAAGCCCATCATTCTCCCTCCCTCAGAGGGTCTGGTGGTTTTGAACTGCTGACCTTAGAATTGAAAGCCCAATGGGTCACCAACTACCATGGCTCCTCAACCCTTTGTAGGACAGAACACAATGCTGCCAGGCACTGCAGCATCTTCACAGTCACTGCTGACTGTTTGAGCCCATTGTGGCGGTGGTGGCTGTGTCACCCCATGTCCGTTGCCACGGAAGGTCTCTGTTTTCACCCAGCTTCCAGTTTGCTGATCATGATATCCTCCAGGAGCTGGTCGCTCTTGAGAACATGTTCAAAGTCCATGGGACAATTCCAGGAGCTTTCTTTTCTTTTTAAGGTGGAAGCCCTGAAAGATGTTTGTTGAAAAGCAGAAGCAGCAGCTTTGGTCTTTCAAATTCCAGGCAAATTCAATTACTAGAAAGTTCGACACCTCCCTTCACGACTCAAATGTACAAAAGCACAAAGGCTCTAGGAAGAACGGGACTATGAGCAAGTGGAGTTTGGCTGGGGACCTCCCTCCACGCCCAAGCCAGCAGGATGACTGCCCTGGGGACCCACATGGGCCTCAGAGGCTGTTCTGGTGGGAAACCACTGCCAACACTCACCACCTAATGTGGATGTAAAAGCCACCCAACAAATCCACACCAGGACACCTTCAATTGGGATAAGGACTGCTGTTCCTTCCATGCCTTGTTGGGAAGCCAGGGACACTGCGAGAAGGTGGATATTTAAGAGTGTCTGGTGGAAGGAGAGATAAGGGGCCAGGGGACTTCTTGGAAGCTTTCAGCCCAATAAAATGAACCCAGATGAAAAATATGAAAATGAGTGGAATTCCGGGGACCCAAATGAAAGCAGAGCATGGTAGTGGGACAAGAGGAAAGTAAAAGGAAATAGAGGAAAGAACTCGGAGGCAAAGGGCATTTATGGAGGTCTAAATACAGGCATGTCCATATATAAATATTTTTATGTATGGTGATGGGGAGATAGATCTATGTACATATATTTATAGGTTTAGTATTATGGTAGCAGATCGCTATTGGGCCTCTACTCAAGTACAGCCTCAATGCAAGAATACTTTGTTCTAATAATTTGGCATTCTGTGATGCTCACCTTCCTGACATGACTGATCACCCACGAAAAAATGGATGCATAAGCCTCTGCGTACTTCTTCCAAGCTAGCGTTGGTCAAGATGTATTTGCTTACGGCAGTCCAAGGTATCTTTTATATTCGTCGTCCAAACCATCATTCAAAGGCACTAATTCGTCTTTGCTCTTCCTTACACTTTGTCCAAATGTCTGGTGCACGAGACACTGGGAAAGGCCATGGCTTGGGCCAGGTGCATGAGAGAGTGCGTCAAATAATTTCTACAAAATCAAAGAATCCTTTGTTACATGAAAATATCAAAATGTGAAGCTAGTTGTAGAAGTCAGCCAGTCC